TCTCTCTGGTTTGTGTTTTCCTGCTCTATCAGATGTAGCCAGGAGCCTGGATTAGACACCCGAGCTGTTGGATCCTCTGCCCAGGATGTTGTGTCCTTCCCATCTGTTCATGAGATATCCAATTATTCTTTGTCTGTTGGCTCTGTGCCTTAACTTATGAACCCCACACCCCACATAGAGATACAGCATTTTCCTTCGGGCACTTCCATAGCTCCTAAACTGGGCTCAACAGTTTTAGGTAAGAGCGTGTCCTCAGTATCTTTGACAATACAAGTCACACTGTCTGAGTGTGTGTGTGTGTGTGTGTGTGTGTGTGTGTGTGTGTGTGTGTGTGTATTCACTACCAAGCCAACTCATAGTCACCCTTTAGGACAGGGTAAAACATACAATACTGTAACTATTTACTGGAGTAGAAAGCCCTGTCTTTGTCAGAATGTAGACCCAAAGCCCATCAGTACCCCATTGGACATCCCCTCACAGAAGGGTCACCAGGAAGGGACAAGCCATCTAGGTGCAGTATAGCACCGGTGAAACACACAGTGTTCCTCCACTTCTTTAATGCTTCCCCTAACCCCGCTATAATGAGCCCAGTTCTATCTTACCAGTCTGGCTAGGCGGGAGCATGTACACAGGTACAGAAAAGAGTTCAGGACACACAGAATCCAGGACAGATATTGAGAGTAGCGATACCATGAGGGCAGGGGGAAGGGGCCTTCTACAGCTCTTATAACAATCTATACACCCATTGTATCAAGCACATTAGTACATTTGTTGCCATCATACCTTTCAAAACCTTTTCTTTCTATTGAGCCCTTTGTATCAGCTCCTCTTTTCCCCCACTCCCTCCCCCACCCTTCAACCCTTGTCAACCCTTGATAAATTATAAATTATTATTCTTTTGTTTTCCTATAAATATTTTCATTTTGTGCTTAGAAGTTGCAAGTTTAAGTTCTATTAACAGAGAACACATAACAAAAGCTTCCTAACAGGTGAAAAACGCACTTATAAATGCTGGGAAAATTGACCCCATTAACATTTACTTAATACATACATTATGGAAATTAATTATAGGACATTTATAGAAAATTTACAAATCACTTTGAGTCATGGACACTTCTCTATTTTATTGTATAGACAAAGGTCAAGGCTGTATTATTTGTAGAGGTAGAACTGACCAAGCAAGAGAAACGGTCAGTCTGCAATGCTGGCGTCATCTGGTTGCTTTTGAATGCCTGTCTGCACGCTTCTTCTCTCTTTGCACTGCTCTGCATGGATCTTCAGAATAAGATTGCGGATTTCCTCTCTTTTTGTTCGCATTCTTAGAGGAGGAAACCAGTTTCTCAAATCCATAGGTAGTTCAAAATTGAGAACTGGATTCTCAAAAAAACTTTCTACATACTGCAGTAAATAGACACCACAATCACTGAGGTTGCTTTGCTGGGGTACATCTGGAATGAGGCCTTTCATAACATCGTGGGAAAAACTCCTCTTGGTGCCCTTTTTAATTTCCCATTCCTCCTCTAGATATTCTCTTAGAATTTTTACAACATGTGCGCGGGAAGGGCCTCGTAGCGAGTCCAGAAGCAAGATGCAAGGCTGCTTACAGACGGTAGGCTTTAAATGCCACTGTCCCCTCTCCGGGTTGCAACGGCTATCCTGATCTTTTAAGGATGACTCATTAGGATAGTTTAGCCTGATTTTACTTAATTCAAATGTACTGTGTGAAGGTCTTAAATGGTCATCGTGTGGGCCATTCTCACTTTTATTCTTATCAACAACTTTCTCGCACACGGACTCTCCTTTATTTGATTCTTCACTTGCACTTGCAGTCTGGTTTATTTTTTCCAAATGACCTTTTACCTTGCATATATTTGCCCCACAACGAGGGTCACTTTCTTCCCGTAGAGCATTTTTTGAATGAAACAAAGCTATGTGAGGCTCTCTGTTTAGAATCCTCGAAATTACAGGTGTGGCAGAGGAGTTTTGTGAAGAACTGGCCGTTTCATTGGCTGAAGGAGCAGAAATACAACTGTCCACTACAGTTGAACTTTTTTGTACGAGTGTATTTTTGTGGTAATGAGGATTAGGCTCATATTTTGGTTT